TAAAGTTATTATTTATAATATATTTGCATTTATTATATCGAGTGGATTACTTATTTGAGTACTATAATGTCTTTTATATGTACATTTCCTTAAGTTTTGCATGACAATCGGCTTGGAATGTGAAGAGAAGTGAGGACATTAAGTATGTTCATACAGATACGTACTCTAATTGAAAATTTTGTTACAAAATATATTTTAATTTAATTATTATTAACATCAATGCCATATTAAAGCTTAAAAATATGCTAAAACACAAGCGGCAAGGTTCTTTTTTGTGTTTTTTTTTTGTTAGAGTTTCAATTGCTTTGTCAACGACTACGAATGTTTTTGATAGAGGTTGACGAGATGTGGTGTTAACACTCGATGTTAAAACATGGCACTTTCATATAACAGTTGTCATGTTAAGCGATGCCGACAGCGTTTTCATTTTAGTGCGGGTTTACTTACACATCTTTGATCTACATTTTCCTATATTTTTATGTCAAAAAGGAGTTAGACTAGCTTCAATTGGATTTGAAAAATCACATTTTAAAGTTTAACACATGCAAACATGTTCTTAAATCACATTTTAAAGTTTAACACATGCAAACATGTTCTTGTATTGTGGGAATATCCTTGTAGCAGTAGCGTTATTTTCTTTAAATAAAATTATAAGTTTGAACCTTATGTTCACAGGAAAGAAAAATCCCCCTTTAAAATGTCCTAGATATGAAAAGATATGAAACAATAGTTTTGTTTGACTATAATATAACTAATAAGTTCAAATATGTATATCTAGATACGATAAGTTAGAAAGATATGGACGCCCATATACCTAAGGGTTAGGAGACAATCATTTTATAGTAAATTATACAAACATCCTTTTAAGCTAATTTTGTGAAATTACGTGGTGCATGTTTGGATTAAATTTTGAAACTTGATTTTACTCTCTCTCCATGTTGAAGATGGATTTTACGTGAAAACAAAAAATTTTTACTTCAACTAAACGTGAAAATTCACATTAGCGTTGAAACCCAAACATGCACGTACAATTCTTTTAGTTGTTTAAAAAATATTATTTTAAATGATTGAATCTCTTTGGAAATTATACTAACTTTCTTAATTATTTTAGTTCAAAATTCATACAGCCCTTACAGATAAAAAGATAAGTTTGTTGAAAAAGAAAGGATCTAAATTAAAAAATCCAAACATTATGATTCATCCCTTTAGTTAGACCACATATAGCCTATTTTATTTTGGGTATCCGCTACCATTCAACAAACAGTCTATCAGGTCATGGATAAGCATGACTCATTGGACAAGATAAGAGAATATACCTTTTTCTTTGGGTACAACTCTATCTTTGTCTGAACCAACTGGAGTTTCTTGTCGTTTGGCATATAAATTTGTCGTTTTGGACTAGAGTCGTAACTGAAAAAAGAAAGTATCATGGTGGTTTCAATAGGCTATTGAAATTAAGCACCAAAACTTGTGCATATCAAATAGGGACGTGGTGCTCTCTGGGACAGGTTTTTTCATTTCTTGCTGGGTATGAGAATTAAACTTTATACTTAATATAGAATTTTTGTGTGGTGCATATCCAGGACTACAAGTTTGTTTCATCTTTTACTTTGACTCATATATTTATTATTAAAAAAATATTTCACACTTTAAAGTTTAACATCATAATATTTTTATTTATATATCATTTATAGCTTGTTTCTAATTTAGGATACCTTGTTCTGTGACTCTAATATATATAATTCTAATTTCTCAACTATTATATATAGTCGACTTAATAATAAGAGTTGTGATAGATATACAGGGATTTAATGATCTGATTTTCATTATTACTGTTATATTTTAAAAAAAATCTAATTTCTAAATCTACTATTTTCAAGTTTGTTTGTAGGGTGAATCTATCTTGCTTTTCTGTATATATTACAACACAAGAGTTTTTAATAATATTTAAAAAATGTTACATAATTGTATATAGGTGTTACTATTTGCTTTTGTAATATATTATCAAAAATTTATATAATTTATGTTATTATAGACTTTTAATATTATTTTTACACAATTAAACAATATCTTTTTAAATGTTATTAAAGTGATATTTTTATAATATTTTAATGATGTTGATAAGTTTTTGTTAACTTTATAAAATAATAATTAATTTTAATTTAAATATTGTTATCAATTATTATATTTTTATGTCTCTTACACTCCTAAGAGATCTTCAAGAGAAGGTTGAAGACATCTTAATTAATTATCACTAATTATATCAAATATCAAAATTTATTTATCTTAAATATAACTATATGATTATATATTATTTATGAATCACTCATTTATTCGACGTGAAACTATAATTATGGATAATAATTAGAGATGAAAGAAGTATACTTCTTTCTACTTGATGTGAGATTTTAATTTTAGAAGCAATAAAAAAGAATAATGTTGAAATAAAAAAGTGTTACTTATATATAGTAACATTTTTTAAAAAAATATTACAAAATAACCTATATGACATTTTTCTTATTTGATATGAGACTTTGATTTTGAAAATAATTAAAAAGAATAATATGCAAATAAAAAATGTTACTATATTTATTATAATATTTTTTAAAAGAATGTTATAAAATAACTTATTTATTTAATATATAGTAATATTTTAATAAATATAGTGAAGAAAATGTTGATAAAGAATTTAAATGTAGTAGTGATAGAATTTCCTTTGTCAAAGCAAGAAATAGATATTGTTGCTAAGCTTACAAAATATTTTTAATTACTATCATCTGCTAATAAATATTGTTGACACAGTTCAGCTCTGTGCAGGTGTTGTGACAAAGAAATCAAGGTAAGCCTCTTCTCGAATAAAGAAGATAGATTATATATCTTGCCTTTTGTTTTATTAAAATTAATAATAAATAATATTTTTGATAATCTTAAAACTACTTTAATAGTTCTGCTAAAAAAATACTCATATGGATATGGTTAGAAGCGACAGATAATAAAACAAACACAAAAGCATAAAGTAGACACATAAACAGTTCTTGTTAATCACCCCACTTCTTCATGACACATCAAACACTAATTTGAGTTTCAAAATTTCTTACAGATGACGCTACACTAGAGCATGTCAAGAAAAATTCTAAAAAGATCTCTACCGAAGGATATTCCTTTAACAAGTGGAATAATATTAGTTTCCTTGGGCTGGTATATAACAATGTTCATGTTATTGTCATCAAATTTTATTTTTATAGTTTTAAAAAAAATATAAATGCGTATATTTGTTCAAAAATGGAATAATACTAACACTCTCTTATTATTAATTAAAAAATTTTAATTTAGTCAAAAAAGAAATATCTTTATACACAGGATATAGCTCATTTTTCAATATAAAATAATTTAATAAAAAAATTAAAAATTTTAAAATTAACTTTTATTAAGATATCAAGAAATAATAATTATTTTTTTATCAGTAAGAATTACAATAATTATAATAAATTTTCATCCCAAAATTATAATTATAATACTTCAATCTCTCATTATTAGAAAGAGTCCTAATAAAAAATGAAAGAAAATTCTTTCTGTGAAATATTATGACATGAAAATTATATATAAAAAAACTCGTTTGATAGACGTAATCATTCACTGGCAAAACAAAAATTAACATCTCAACCAGTACAAAATTGTTTTATTTAATCAATAATCTAAAATTTGAATTTTCGTGCAACTATATTATATTAAATTCTCAAAGAGAGAGTTTTATCATTTTATCTAAAAGATACCTATATTTTTTTCAAAAAGAGAAAAGTTTACTTGCAAAATTAAAAGCTCCTTATTCTAATTCAACTCAAAATTCCCTTTTAGCACTGTTGTTGATCAGTTGCTTCCAGGGGGTATTACTATACATTCTTAAAGAATTTCTTATTCTTAATTTTTTTAATAAAAAACTAAAACTAATGGAGCCCAAATTATGAATTACAGTAGATTTTGTTTTTTCTTGCTGAAAATAGGCTATCCTTCAAATTTTTTTGGGTCCACAAATTTTTCAGCATGTTTTTGGTCAGAAATTATTCGTCATTGGCAGGCTCTTCTATTTAATTGAACGGGCCGTACTTAGTATAGGCCTCATTTTTTCATGTGAGTTAGAAGACTCATGCTATATACACCTCCTTTTTTGTGTATAAGTACACCTCTTTTTTTAAAAAAATAATTAAATTTTTAAAATAATTTTTTTTATTTTTTAATTTTACACCCACAATATTTTATTTAGTAAATTTTTACACATCTTTTTTTTTTCTTTTTTCAATTTTTACATATATTCCCTTATTACCTTTCCTTTACCCCACTTATTTTAGTAGCATGTAAAAATTGAAAGAGAAAAAAAGTGTGTGAATAAAAAAAAAGTAGCAAATTAAAAATTAAAGGTGTAAAATTAAAAAAATAAAATAAAAATGACAATATTTTATAATTTTTTAAAAAATAAAGGAGGTGCACTTATAAAAAGGCTCATGATATATACACCTCCTTTATTTTTTAAGTACACCTCCTTTATTTTTTTTTAAATTATAAAATACTGTAGTTTTTATTTTTATTTTTATAATTTTACACCTCATAATTTTTAATTTGCTACTTTCTTTTTCTTTTTCACACACTTTTTTTTTTCTTTTAATTTTCACATGCTACTAAAATAGGTGGGGTGAAAGAAAGGTAAGGGAGTGCATGTAAAAATTGAAAAAAAAGAAGAAAAAAAAAGGAAGATATGTGAAAAAAAAATACTAAATTAAATATTGTAAATGTAAAATTAAAAAATAAAAAATATTTTAAAATTTTAATTATTTTTTTTCAAAAAGAATGTGTACTTATAGAAAAAAGAAGGTGTATATATATGAACCGAGTCAGAATCATCATCACTCAGACAAGCCCAATACAGTGCCACTGAAACATGAACCCAAGCCCAAAAAAAATGACAATTAGTAATTATTAATTAATTCCTCAAAATGGAAAAAAAAAAAGTAATAAAGGTTAGATCGAATTGAATGCGAAGCAAGGTGGAAGGTAGGTGACAGACACCAGCAACGTTGGTTATTGGATTGAAACCCCAACAACGTTATTGGGCGAAGAGAAGAAAAGAATGAAATGGAGTGAGTGAGGAACAAAGAAAGGAGGAACGATGGGAGCGAGGAGAAGGTCGATCTTAGCCATTCTTGCTTTTCTAATGTTAATGGGCATTGCCGTCTATTTCAGACTCTGGGCTATTCACTACAACATTTCTTCTGATGACACTCACCTCTTAAGGTTCATATTCTTCCAATCCCCTTGTTATCTTCATTTGGGCCTTCTATTTTCATATTCAATTGCTGCTGCTGTGTTACTATACCAATCATATGAACCACAAATTGTTCTTTATAAAGTGATACATGATAATATTAATCACTTGTCATATTTCTCTTGGGGACTCTCATTCTCCAACGAAAGCTCTTGCACTAGTTACAATTAGTAATGCTCTTGGTTTGAAATTTGAATTGACACTGCTAAAAGAAATTTTTTTCTGTTTGTGACTTTACCATTATTTTGGCATGCTTAGGCGTGTTTGCATAGACTTCTATAGAAACACTACTGGGAGGAAAAAATATGAAAGAAAAATAAAATAAACTTCTTCAGCCGAAACTAACTTATGCATAAGTTTATTTGTAAGTTTTTGGAGAAGTTACATGAAAAAGCTTCTGCAAATTAGTTTATATATAAGCTAATTTTAGTTTATGAAAAAATATATTTTATTTTTCCTTTTTATTTTTTTCTAGTAGAAGTGTGTTTTTCTGGAGAAGTTTATCCAAACATGTCCTTGGAGCATTATACTGATGTTTGGTTCACTCATCTGTTTGGTTCACTCATCTGTTTGTTTGCAGGCAGCAGTTTGATATTGCTAACAGGGAGGCAATGGATGAATCTGCTGAGTGGAGGCTGAGGTACGATAAGGAGGTAGATAGGACAAAAAAGTGTTTACACGAGCTTCAAGTGGTATGCATTCTTTTATTTCGATCTTCACATTCCACCTTCCAAATAGGATTAAAACTTAAAAGAAAGATTTAGCTTCAAGTTGTGTTATTATTTGGTTGCTATTACTACACACTACACCGTACAAACCTCAGCCTTCTTAATTTCAGTAAGTAGGAACAGGGTTATCATATATCTTAGCACCAAGATAATAGAGTTGGCACTGAATGAAACAGACTTGTAGAAATCAGAATTTATTTTTTCAACCATTAAAGTAACAAACATTTTCTTTATTTTTCCTGTAATGACTGTATAATCGTGTGTGTGCAGCTGCGGGATTCCTCTCAGAAGGGGGATGTTGCGTCTGGTATTAACCATAAATTGGCAATACTACAGAAGGTATGTCAAACTTCATTCTACTTTCTATGAATAATCCTTCTTTTCGATTATCCATCTTAGGGAAACAATAGTAAAATCGGTAAAGATAACCATTAGCCACAATTTGCTCTGCTAATTGTGCCAGAGATACAATGCAGAGCTAACATAATCAGTCCCCAAATTTCAATTTTCAAAATTTTTTTCCAGTGATGCTGATTTTATTCATGTCAAATGCTATAACTTTATCTATAAACTATGATGATACCATTTCTTATTAAGGTAATGTTGGATGACATTAGTTTCAGCTCTCTTTCTGTATGCATAGTTTGTTTTTCATATTGTTGGTGTTCTAATAACCTTCTAACCTACCAGGAGAATGCAGTCTTGCTTGAAAGGTTGGAAACATTGAAAAGAGAGCTTGAAGAGGAAAGGTTGAAGTGCAGTTCACGAAACATGAACTAATCATGAGAACATTGACGAGAATTCAATTTTTTGTCATTTTGTCCATAAGATGTTTATTCTTGAGCACAAGCGTTTCAAAGACATTTGCAGCCAACAACTAGTATTCAACCATAGAAATCTTGGCAGTATGATTTCTGGTCTCAACTTTTCACCTTATAGAGACAGAGACCATTCAGGGAATATGCAAATATATGAGTCACTAATCATTTCTCATTTTCTCCCTTTTTGTGGGGGGTTATATTCTCCTTTGTACTTTATTATTTGCATTTTTCTTTTTGGAATCTTTGGATGTTAGATGTACCTGATAGTTAAGTTGTTTTACTTTCTTTAAAGAGGTATCCTGTGAATGCTTGATTGTGTATTAAGGGCTAGTATCTAATTAATCCAGCCTCTATTTAAAGTCTATTGAATACAAGATGGAAATTTTTTTTTTTTTTTGGAGAGTTTCTCTATTGAAAATAAAAAGCTTTTTTCATTATAGAAGCTTTCAAAAATATTTTTAATTTGTATGTTATTCAATACTGTGGTGTCATATAATAAGATCCAGAACATGCAGCACTTTTAGTATTTCTATTTTATTTTAAGGCAAAAGACTTGCATGTTTGTGAAAAGTGCTGATAAATGTTGTTGATACTGTTGCAGAAACCTCAAAAGCTTTTACACTGCGGCTAAAATTATAGTAGCTCACTGTTTTATAAAAGGGATGGGGAGCAATAATTTTCTATCACCTAATTGGAGGCGAGTAAGTTACTCACTTACATTGCATGCTGGCTTTAACCACCAACTACAACAATTGGTATCATTTTTTTGTATCAAGACTTACGCTAAGTGAATATAATATAATGATTAATTTTGATCTTTCACACAATATATAGTTACTTTTAACCTCATGTGCTCCTTGGTCACTCTGAATCTGTTGGACTTGTTCCCAGTTCATGCAAAAACCTGGTCACTGTCTGTACTAGTGCTTCATTGTTGTTTGGCTGGCTTGAGGAAACATTTGCTCTTCCATTAGAAGCATGCCCTCTTCGATTCTATTTGGAGCGAGTGAAAGAAAGGGAGGGAAACTCAATACAGATATAAGAGACATGATTTAGATGAATTTATTAGACTAATGAAAACATTAAAATTGTTTAACTTGCATTTCACAATAGCAGCATTGGAGGACCCTATATTTCTTTCTTATAAAATAAGATTTTATAGAAAAGTTTGGTACCTTTCGCCACTTTGGTGCAGTAGTGTCATTGTTCATTAGTCCCATCAGCTCGTCAAACTGAAAGCATAATGAGTGTCCATTTGTATACCATTAATAAAAGTAAATCACTTAGTGTAAATTTTTTTTTATACTGGTAATTAATTATATCTTTTAATTGTGTCAGGTTACTGTTAAAATTAAATGTATTTATAATGACATGATATAATTAAAAAATATAATTAATTATTAATATAAAAAAATGTTATACTGACAATGTGTATTAACTCTTAAGATAAAACAAATTCATGACAATGAAGAAAAAAATGTTCTTCCCTAGAGTTGCACATCAAGCATTAAGATGATACCTGTTTCACTATGGCTTCATACTTCCTTGTGCACTCATACAACCTTCTTTCATCATTAACATCCTCATATATGATCCCTGCAACTTGGTTCTCTCGGTTAGCCATGTTATTCGAGTTTGTAGTATATGAAAAGATGGGTATTCGAGTTTGTAGTATATCATTAACACGTCTTGTATTATAGTATATTTATAGTACAAAGGAGATAAAGAAGACCAGTTAATTGGCTAAAGGATCACTTGGGAAGTTGAAACTTGGAGCGCGTTTGTTACAAAATGTCTCAAAAGACAATCCGTTATTTTTGTGACCGACCTTTGCTGTTTTCGTGAAAAAATAAGGACCTTGTCAATAGCTTCTCATTCACTCAAACCATATTAAATGGTCGGTGTATTTACCTCCACATTCTGAGCTCAGCTAACCCTTTATGATCTAACAAACAAATTTACTGATACAAGTTATGTTGGGATATTTTTTTTTTAATATTATTTTTTAAGACTAAAAGTATGTTGTAATTTATAAACTTTGAAGAATGTGCTATGACTTTGTCAGAGTACAGACAACTGTGAATTAATTTTCGAATAGCCTTTACTTTTCAAATCACTGTATCTTTCCAGTGAAAGATTCGTAAACTTGAAATGAAAAAATAATTTATTTTAAAATATTTTTAAAAATTTATAAACGTAAACAATTCTTTTGCTAAAATAAAATAAGTAAAAAAGTGGTAAGACTTTATTTAAATAATTTTTTCCATAAATATTTGTTAAAAAAATAATAAAGTAAATTAAATTGAATTTTTCTCATAAAATTTTAACTTTTAGAAAAGTTAAATATTTCTATATTATTCACATGCTTTGTCTTATTATTATTTTTTTTTTTATCGAGAATATTGTGTTACAATGTACAATGTATTTATTTGTATTTTATGAAGATCATGTTAGATATAACTTTTTCCTTTCCTTTCTTTTTTCTTTTTTCACTAAGAACACTGCTCATAGATGTTCTTCAAAATTAAAATATAAGTCTAATCTATCATGTCTTTTTATATGTTTAACCTGATCATTTTAAAAGTCTATTATAGTTTAATAGTTTTTTTTTTTTTTTTTTTTTTTTTTTTGGGTTTTTTGGGGTAGGGTCGATAGTAGTGACTAATCCCCTTGTTACGAGGGAGTCACTTGAAAGAGTGAGATAGATAGTCTCAAGATTTAACGTGGCTCCATTCACAAAACAGGATTCGAATCCCTGATCTTACTTAAACATGGATCAACCCCTACCGCCGAACCACACACTTAGAGTTGTTTAATAGCTTATTTAAAAATCTATTTTATATTAACAAAGTTAATTAAACTAATAAACATAATTTTTAAAAATCAACAAATCTATTTTTAAATATGTTATTATGAGTTATTTTTTAATTTACGTGATAAAAAATAATTTACTCAATATTATTAAAATTTATATTTTAAAAGAAATATATACAAATTCATAAAGAAAAAAATTGATACAGGGACAATTCATGTACACCAACTTATGTTTTGATGTAAACTCATGCATAGACGGTAAGCATTTAATGAAAAAGGCTAATCTTATTTTGATAAATTTTAAAAAAATATTTCTTATATTTCATTTGACATATTCTAAATAACTAATTGTTATTTTAACAAATTAAAATAGTTATGATAACAAATTAAAAAAAAATACATATTGTACATGAGGTGATCTTAATGATACATATATAATGTCACAAATAGGAAATAAATGGAATCATTTTTTATTAAAGGGATAGTTCATGTACACTCATGTACAATGTCGTGCACTCATGTACAATAATTACAACAGATGTGACTGCTAGAGTTTTTATTTGCGATTTCTTGATTTTGTATAAATAAGATACGTAAAACGTTTAAGTGGAGTGATAAAAAAAATCGATAATTTTATTTTTGTTTTATAAATATATTTATTTATTTATTTTAATAATATATGTATTTTTTTATTATCATATTATACATGTAAATAGGTTGACCTATTAAGTTTAATAGATTTTTTATACTCTAAGTCCAACTTTTTTTAAATAAATAGACTTTTTTTAAAAACTTAAACCTAATATTTTTTATTAAATTAATAAGACTTGATGTCAAATTATAGATCCCTATTTAAGATTTAACCTATTTTTATCTTTAGTTATATATATCCTTTTATATTTTTTCTTCTTTTTACTAAAGATATTTTGATTGGGGAGTAATTTATTTCAAATTTTCATTTTGTCCTTTCATAAGGTTTTATTCTCAACTAAATTGAAATTTTGGTTTCTTAAAATATTATGTGAATTCAGTCTCTCAAATATTATTTTCTCTTTAAATAGTTTTTAAAATAATTAAATTATATAGCATTTTTTAAAGTATTAAGTATCAATGAATTTAATTCTTATGTTAATATATTTTGTTAATGTTTATTAATTATGTTGAAAGATTTTTTATTCACCAATTTTTTTAAAGGATTTTCTAATACTTGAAAACTATTTAGTTTGATTTCTAAAATTTGATAGGATACTTATTTAATTTGTTTACTGTATGAACTATATAGTTGTAAATACTTTAGAAATTAAATTTATAGTTTATTTATATTTTATTTTATTTTCTACTTTTAAACTGTTATAATGTAGTCATCATGTTTTTCTCTCATGAAATTTTGTATAAATGATAAATCTGTTGTTAAATATTTATTTCTTTTCACTTTTTTTTAGATATTATAATTTTTGGGTCAAATCACTCTATCACTTTTACTGATAATGGCGAAATACGATGAAGAACAACAAAATCGATAGATATTAAAAATCGTGTACATTTTGTTCGGAAGGAAGCGAATAAATAAAAAAATATGACTGACACACTTTTTTTTTTTTATGTATAAAAATCAATGTTACATGCTTTTGTTCACAAAATATAAAAATTAAAGATACACGCTAATAAATTTCATAATTAATTAAAATATTTTATAAATCAATTAAATTATATATATATATAATTGTTTACTATTTTTAATTTAAACAATCTACTTTTTTATTTAACCGATAAAATTAGATCTGTTAATATTCTTTAAAACATAAATAATAGTTTTATCAGTTAAAGATGTGTGATAAATTTGTAATACAAGATGTGTGATATACTATAACTAATTTTTTTTCTTCTAAATTACAATTTAAGTTCTTTTCTATTTATATTTTTATCTTTTTATTTTTAATTAGAAATAATAATAACTTATTTATATTTTTTATATGAAAATAATAATTTTGTCAATCTAATTATTAAATTAAAAGTTTCTTTTACTTATATTGTAACAGTCCAATTTTCACTGGGCCAAGAGCCAAATTGAGGTGGTTTAGTAGCCCGGAACGGGCCGTTCCAAAATTGGAACGGACCGTTTCAAATTACTAAAATAGACCTACTTTTGGGAGCCCGGAACGGGACGTTCCGAATTTGGAACGGGCCGTTCCAAACCATAAAATTTGTCTAGGATTCTTACCTGGGAACGGGCCGTTCCGAATTTCAGAAATGGCCTTTGAACCTTATTTGAGAACGGGCCGTTCCAAAATATGACCGTTGAGGGTGTTAATGCAAACCCCAAAATGGGCCGTTCTGGTTTGAGAACAGGCCGTTCTGGTTTGAGAACAGGCCGTTCTGGATGTGAATTTTACACATGACGTGAGATTTCAGAACGGGTCGTTCCGGATTTGAAACGGGCCGTTTCGCGAATCCCGATGCCTATAAATTGAGTGCTCTGGCACTCCTAAAATCATATTTTTTCAGTTCTAACTTCTTTTAGTTCTGACTTATTTCTTCTACATTCTCTTCTTTTCCTTCT